TTATACTGTGTAAATATTTTTTCGACGAAAAAAAAGACTGTAAAATTGGAATTTATAGGAATTGTGTGATGGTCGCGAATGAATTTCGTTTCTGCTCACCAAAAACGAATTAGTTTATTGTTGCAGATAAACGATTGGGTCATTGCCGTTGGTGATCGCACATAACAAATGTTTCATAGATAAAATTAAAAACACAATAATAACTGGTATAGACTATTCCCAGCCATACGATAGGATTAAAAAAATAAATTTTTTTTGTTATTCAAATGTACAGCAAAAGGCAATATCCGTATGTATATCCGACAAATATTTAGAGAGCGATTTGAACCACTTTCGAAAATATATACCAAGTCCTTTATTCAATCCACCATTACTGGTTTGGGTGGGTCGGTGGGGGGGAGGTAGAAGGAGGGATCCCACCGTTAATTTTTTTTCAACGTTTTAGATCAGTTAACCATAAACTATATTTTTAATAATACAATATAGTGCTCCCCCTCTTGACAAAATCACTTGACCTCCACTGCATTTGTTACACTTTGCATATACAATTAAAATGATAATGACAATAAATATTTATGCGTTTTTTTACTTCAAAATGTGTGTTTTTGGATGTCAGAAAATTGGTTTCCAGAACGCGCAACGGGAATTTCATATGGTTTGAGCTTACAAAAGTAACACATTTCAATGCGCTTATGGTGCAGCGGTGTAGCTCGGTAACAATATTGTTGTTGTATAGGTAAGTGCAATTATTACCGTATAGTCCACAAAACATTACAAACCACGTACAATATCGTATTAGACATTTTCCCGTTCGCATTCGACCACGTTTAAAACGATCCATTTTGAACGATAAATCGTCTCGCTGCTTAAGGCACACTCGACTATATAATACGTAGTGTCGAAAGGCAAAAAGGGCTTAGCGACACCATAACGAATGAGCCACGATAATAGCAGACAGTTTCCGCTTTCGAATAGGCGGGCGCCGGTGTTCCTGTATGTCTGTATATATTTTATTCAGTGCACACAATTATTAACGACGAGTAGTTAATTTTTAATTCTTGGGCCAATTGTAGACGACAAATTAGTGTTTAAATTCTACTCGCCACGAAAAATATATGATATGAAAATCGTACCTCGAATGGGCCTCTCGGAACTTTAAATAACGTCATATAATAGTTAGGGCATCGGTCGATGATATTACATTAATATGTTACGTTTGTGCAATATATTATTATTATTTATTATTAATATTATAACGCCAAACGGTGATTTTACACAATAGRTACTACAACAGGTTAAAAAAAAAGAGTGTTCATGTGAACGGTTAGAAAACAATATTATAGTACTCTATATTAAATATATGCACATCACTCGTAATGAATTGCTTGTACGATACTACGATAGTTAATAGAATGCTAAATATTATATCATAATTTATAATATTGAACGACAATCGAGCAAAAGTGGCTGTGTGTAGCTCAACAATAAAATTATTATTACTCGCATCTCTGATACGCATACGATGCGGARTACATGATTTTGTCCACAAGAAGTCTTATTTTTTGGACATGGGACTGAGATTGATTTGAAATTTGGACTCTAGATGGTGAGGTGAAAAGAATTTCGGGAACGTCCAGTGAATAATTTAATAGGTACCTATCCGATGATAGGAAACCTAAGTCTGCTGTACAGCGACTACGATGAAGAACAAGTTCAGTAATGACACATTTGTGGCCTAAATTATAAAAAAAAATCGCGACTAGGCCGTGCAATGGCGAGTGTTCAATGTTTTAAAGCAATAGAATATTTTAATCATTGATTTTGGACACGTTCCAACACGTGTCTGTTGTTCGACTAAATACGGTAAATATATATAAAGCGCAGAGGCATCCATCAATAACTGACTTGAACGGTTTAGTTTTACATGTGAAAATCCGAGAATTTTAARTGCTCTGTTTATCATCTATATAGTTATCGATGTGAACAATAACACYGCAGATTAGACTTGCAGCTAAATCTAAGGTTTTTAATGCAGGTAACACATTCTAGTTCAAGGCTGGTATAATATTTGATACCCAAATATATCAAGTGTATGTATTCATGGTTATACCACGACCAATAGGTGACCATAATACAATATTATAATACAGTGAATTAATGTCAAGTTTTCAGCAACTATATAATAGTCATCATCGGTTTGGTTGTTGTTGTTACTTTTTATTATTATTATTATTCCCGACAACTACGACTGCAGGTATTTCAAWTAGTTTTAATTAGTCTATGTAGTCAGAAATTCTCAAACTTTTATGAATAATGTACCACTTTTTACCAATACATTTTTTTTTTTTTTGGTTAATCCTTCTTAGTTACATAGGCGCTACTAGATCCCTAAAACGAGGGGTGYTAAATCTATGAAAATATCACAGAGCCAAACAAATAGACAAACATTAATCGATACATCAAAACTGTAAAACATATACTCGTATTAAGACTTTTTACTAAAATAATAAAATGAACAACATTTTTAATATTCTTTTTTTACAACAATATCAGAAACATATTGTAACATTTTAATTTCATAATCCTGTTAAATAAATAATAATTTATACATTTGAAATCAGCATAATTTAGATGTTTATCTGATTGAATAAATCTTTTTCAATATCCAATAATGATAAATAACGAATTATATTATACGACCAGGCAGTTATACATTTTTCCAKGAAATTTCCCATAATTTAAAAGCATTAAATTCATAGGATATTAGGTATATAATAATAATTTTATATAAAAAACAAGGGGTGCTAAATTTAAGTTGGGGATGCTAAAGACCTTTTTGCACCCCCCTAATTGTGCCAYTGCTTAGTTATATTAAAATATATATATAAATCTAAAAACATACATTTTAATTTCATTCAGGTTTTTTAGCCAGACTCGTACCTGCCTCTTAAAAATTTTGATTACCCCTAAGGAGTACGGGTAACCACAGTTTGAGAATCCCTGTCCTATGTCATCAACATTCGACTGCAAGAAAAAGTTTAAAAAAATTTAATGGGTCCATCCAGTATTAGAGTTTTGAAAAAAAAATAATTAGATATAGGTAGGAATATACTTTTTAAATAAGTTTTTCTTCAATATGACCTACATATATTATATTATGTAATTATATTTATCGGATAGTTTGAAAAATCATAACGTAATCCATACTAGAAATATGCGTTTTGCGAACGAAGGACCAAAAATAAATACCTTATCGTAATAATAATAATTATTATTACCCATACATTGCGTTGTATATATACCGAGTATACATAAAGCGTAAAGGGATGGGACGCTATAGGGACTCTAACATATTACAAAACGTCACCTTTGATATTTACTTACGTTCGTCAACACGCTCAAATCTAACTTCAAACTTTTTTATTTTTTGAAAATTAACCAAAAAATGTACCATATTTTATCAAGAAAGGTTGGGTCAGGATAAGAATGTGATAAAAACAGTGGTTATTAAGTATTTCGAATTATTTCATCACTCATTAGCTATGCATTTTTCCGATGCTTCGAAAAAAACAAGAAGTCTACAACAATGAGTTCTGACAAATGCTGAACACGGAAAGTACATTATTTATTTAAAGAAATCGAATTTTTCGATTTAGTGAATCATGCATCTTGCTGTAAAGTTCATTTCGAGATACTCATTTATTTTTAACAATATATAATTTGTTTTTTATTTTTATCGTTTTTCATATACCTCCCTATAACATAACGTATGCTTATGACAGGCATTCGATTATCTTGTATAATATTTGAACAAAACGTCATACGATTATAATATAGTGCACTTATCGTTTTTTTTTCATTTTATTGGCATATATAGGTGCTTCTAAATTATATCCTATCATACACTATTAACTGCAGAGCAATAATTGTCGCTAATGAATTGTTTTATCGAACAGTCCGAACAGATATGATTGATTTCCATTATAATTCGTCAAAACATTAATGAAATGAAAACAATGAAAACCAACCAAATCTGTTCGATACAAAAATATTTATCAATATATGCGTACCTACATCGCAAATAATCGTAAATGTAAAAAAAAAAAAAGTTATGTAGCACTTTTAATCGAAAAACAAAAAATGTCATATTATAAAAACCCTGTTTAAAAGTGGCTGGTACATATATATTATTAGATAGGCATTTAATAACACTGACCTTTGGCTTCGGTTTGGACTGGCCGAACGTCTCTGCCGCTGCCGCCGCCGCCGCCGCCGCCGCTGTTGCAACGTCATCATCCTCGGCGCCGCTGAACGTGCTGCACGTGCTGCATCCGGATATCTTGCGCTCGGGAGTGTGCAGCGAATAGTCTGCGTCCAGCACGCTGATGACACTCCCCGCGGCGCTCCACGTGCTCGCCGCGCTGCAATCGGACGACGAGTCGTTGAACCCGCAATCACCGGACGGCCTGTACTCGAACTCGCCGAGGTCGTCTAGCGTGAACATGGAAGAAAAAGACACCGGGTCCTCGGAGTGGTCGCTGACCACCACGGACGGGGTCCGGAACTGACGGCCACCGGCGCCGCCGTTGACCGGGGTCTCGCCGTCCGGCGGACCGCAACCGTCGTACAACGTCACGCCACCCGCGTCGCCGCCCGCGTTGCTGCTGAACGACCGGTACAGCGCCGGGTGGTGGTGATGGTAATGGTGGTGGTGGTGGTGGTGCAGCCTGTTTCCGAACTCCCGGTGTTGGTGATGGTGGTGCGTCGTCTCGTAGCCCTGGTCCAGGCTGTGGCCCTTGCGGCACGGACCGGTGGTCCCGTCGCCCTGGCCCTGCCGGCCCACCGGTCCCGTCCACGACTTGCGCCGCTTTCGCTTCACCTTGGTCTTGCTCACCTCCAGCCGGCTGACCACCACCTGCCGCAGCTGAGGCTGCCGACCGTCACCCGATCGCATGTCTTCTGCGCCACCGTCCGAGTGTGTCGTCAGCTTGTCGTCTTCATCGCTACCTACAATTATATCATGACAAACGAATGTATATAAGATACGTACAAACCGTTGYTTGAAATATCTCGCGAAAACGTGAAACATTGACATTTTTCATAGTACAATAATACAAATACCTAACCAAAGAAAACCATCATTGATGAGCACACACTCGTATAGTTAGTCGTGGTATTATTAAATTGTGAAGGTGAGAATTATTATTATGACAATTATACGTAAAAATAAAACTTAAAAAAAATATAATATAATATTACTGAAACATTTCAAAAATTTAAAATTTAAAACGTCATGAAATTTTCAAACAATATATTATAGGGTATAAGGATACATATCGAGATTTAAAACGACGGTAAACGGTTGCTGTGTACATGTCGAAACGCAAAACTTGGACAC